CTGTTTTTTCTTCTGTCCTTTCTTATCCTCTTTTGCAACTCTTAAACCTGTTCATTGAATGGATTATTCCAATCCCCCTTATTAGGCTGAAAGTTGCACTGATATCCCAAATATTAAAACATACTTAAGGGATTTTTACCCTCTTCTTGGATGATGTAATGGTCTTAGGGCACTTAGAACTCCATTTAAGCCCTTCCCACTTAAATATCTTTACTTTCATGCATTTTATTTCTATATATTATTTAAAACTCCACAAGACATAATTGTTTTATGTAGTCAATATTTATGTTGACCTGCATATTTCTCATTTTCATTGCTCTTCAATCTTTCCTGAAACTCTGTCCCTATGTTTGGGATCATTTTCCTTCTGGCTCTAAGACACCCTTTTAATTTTCCTTTAAAATAGGTGTGCTGATTAATTCTAGCTATTTCTCTAAAAATGTCTTTGTTTCTTCTTCATTCTTGCTATTTTCCCTGATTAGAAATTTTACATTGGCCATCATGTTCTTTCAGTCCTGTAAAAGGCAGTATTTCCTTGTCTTCCATTGCTTCTGCGGAGAAGTTAGCTGCCAGTCTAATTACTGCTCCTTTGATGCTTATATACCTGCCCTCCCCGCCCTTCCCTCTTTCCCCAGGAAGGATTAAAATCTTTGTTGTTTTTCAACAGTTTTACTACAATGTGTCTAGGTGTGGATTGTCTGTTTTTATTTATCCCACTTGGGGTTTGTGGGAGGGCTTCTTGATTTTATGGCTTGTTAACATAGTTCATGAGTTTTGGAAACGTTCTCAGCCATTTATTTAAACATCCCCTTCTTCTCTTGAGATTCCAACTATATTTAGGTCAGACACCCTCACTGTTTCCTTCATGTATCATACTCTGTATTTTCTATTTTCTTTTTGACTTCGGCTCTGCTTCCTGCCCCCACCTCCCTGATTTATTTTATGTATTGTCTTGTTAATTATGTCTAATCTGCTCTTAAACCCACCCACTGAATTAGTCTTAATTCTTGTTATAGTATTTTTCAGTTCTAGAATTTTGATTTGGTCCTTTTTTTTTAGTAGTTTCTAATTCTTTGCTATGATTCTTGATTATACATTTTATTTTTTTGAACACAGTAAGCATAGCTCTTTCAAATTCTGTGACTGACAATCTGGAGCCCTTCTGGGTACGTCTATTTATTTTTTTTAATCCCTTAATGCTTTTAATTCAAGAAATTGATATTGCCTGGTCTTCTCCCATACCTGGATATTTCTGATTGTAACATTGTAGAAATAACTTGAGGCCTTGGGGTATGTTTGCATCCTTCAGTTAGAATTTACATTTGCTTCAGCTGGGCACCTGAGGGCACTAGTCATCTGGCTGCACCTTAATCCACGTTCAGGTACAGAGGTGGCTTAGAAGTTGAGCAGTACCCATGCGGGACAGTCTAACGACAGCAGTGGAGGACCAACCCCCCCAGCTAAGGACAACTTGGAAATCAGTCCAAAATATTTTAAAAATTTGCCTGAAGGCAACCCAGAGCCAACAGGATGGGGAAGCATTACCTGTCCAGCTGTACAGGGCAGCTTTTCCTCTGGGGGCTTTTGCTAATCCCAGAGGCTGTGTCTGAGAGCTGGCATTTCGATAGCCTTGTGAAGTCAGATTAGGGGTTGAAATATGACCTGACCAAGGGGGTGGGGTCTGCTGGTGAATCTCCCTTGGTTCGATGGGGACCCTGAATAGCTACACCCTAACGAGATTTAATTTTATGCTTTAATAGAATTCTTAAAAAAGAAACATGCATTATTTGCTATGGATGGTGTGCTATAATCTGTTTTTCATATTCATAGAAAGCATGGCTCTTCATCAGGGAATAGAAACCCTGACCTTGACTGCAGGAAGTGATGGAAGACACTGGAATAGGCCTGAATTTGGAGTCAGGGCCCAAGGATCAGCCCCTAACATCGAATGGCAACTACTGAAACTGCAGCACGGTGCCTGGGAGAGAACTAGGAGACGCAACGTGGCTGACCCTGCAAAGTCAGCCTGTAACGGGTCAGAAAGCACCAAAACTCCCATTTAGGGCTCCGCAGAGCAGCACAGGGGACTCAGTTATGCAGACGGCTATCACGCCTCATGCAAAACCCCGGCTCCCCAGAATCTGAAGGGTGATATATGCTGCCTAAAGAATGATATATTAAGAAATTTCGTGCCTGAAAGTATCCTCTCACTAAACGTTTCTCTCGGATGCACCTTAATGAGCTCTTGAGGAAGTGGCCGAGTGTTCCGACGCGGATCCCGTGTTCTTTCCTCTTTCCACCTTCTGCTTTTCTAGCTCCTGCGACCTCCCTCCAGAGAGAACCGTGTGTGCAGTGTACTTTCTGTGCTTCACCTTCGGGGACCTTCTCCTCTCTGCTTTCTCCGTCTTTGTCCTTGAGCTGTGTCTGCGCTGAACGGTGGCAGCCCCGTTGCAAGGCTGTTGTCCACAGATCCTGCGACACCAGCCTCAGTGGTGGCTGTGGAAACCAGGGTGAGAATGCTGAAGCTTTTTTGCTAAATGCCTTGAACTCTTGATAGGGAAGGTGCTATTCAAAGGGGCCCATTCTTTTAAAAATAAATATTGTGGCAGAACTCTTTGTTGATAAAATGACACACTGCAGTAACAGCTTCATGTTGTGGGTAAAATCCGATGCTAATTTCCATCCCAACATGTGATGCTTCTGTGTTACATCGTTCTACACATTTTTACTTTGTGTAAAATGGAAAAACTTCTAAGCAAACTAATACTCAAAATCAACAGAAGCATAATGCAAGTTTAACATTTGAGTTTATTGCCACGTAATACATCTTTCACAAAAATAAGGAAGAGACTCCTGGTGGCTTTGCAGAGCTGGGGCCACGAAGCACGTGAGGAGGAACCGGGTGGTGGGAGCCCCACGTCCAGGCCTCCTCAGAGGCTGCTGCCCGCTGAGCTTGCAGGCCAGTGAGCACGTCTCCTGACGGCTGAGAAGCAAGGAGAGGGCAGGGGCACCTCAGTGACCCAGGAGCCTGGGGGAGAGGTTGTGTGAGCCCCTCCACCAAGGCTGCCTTGGGAGTCTGCCCTCTAGCAAGACGACAAGGCTTTGAGAGACTATATTTCTTCCCGTCACAAGAGCTGACAGTCCTGCAGCCCAGTGACTGTCCCATGGCACTCAGAGGACAAGTCGATGGTCCGACCAGAAGCTCAGCTGCTTCACATAACCCTTAAAAAATTTTTTTTTTGTTTAAAGGAAAAGGAAGCAAATAAAAATGCTTTGGAAACAAATGAAAGCCGTTAATCATTTCCCCACATAGGAAGTAAGTATCATATAATTGCAGCCCCCTCTGGCAGAGAGGACCGCTCCCCCTACCAGCAGGACTAAGCAGATGTCACTGACAAGTGTCACCTCTAGCCTGAAGGCCCTGTACATGCAATCTGAAGTAAACTCCAGGAGTCAGGGTCCCCGGCCATTCGCTGGGACAGCAGAGGCCCAGCAGAACAGGCACTGAGGGGGCAGCGGGCAAGCTGCTCCTGCCTCCTGGACGGGGACAGCCCTCCATGAGTCACTCGGCCTCAGAGAACTTGTGTTTCACCCCTGCCCAGATGAGGAGGAGCCCGGCGCACCTCAACAGCCCCCCAAGGGCGGCTCAGCCTGGCTGTCCCTGTGAGGGAACCACACAGGGGTGCGCCGAGATGTCGGCACTTTTACAGAGCTCTAGGAGGGCTCCTCCTGGGCTCTCAGGAGATGGTAATGGACAAAATGACTTGAGCCTCCGGCCCAGGGACACGGGGACAGGAGACGCTGGTCCTGATGAGATGACAGCAGGTGGAAACAGGGTGCTCGGGCTCATCTGGGATTATGTGCTAAATTGAAAAGCGAATGCTTTTTCAAAGACACAAAAGTGTCTTTGACAATCAAAGCGGGCTCCTCATCTAGACGGTGAAGGGGCGAGGACACGGAGCATGCCCTGGAAGGTCCCTCCCACCCTGCCCCCGCGCCCACTGCTCCGCTCAGCACGGCCTGGGCGGCACGTCCCCTCAGAGAAGCTCCTTCCTCCGGCTCAGGGACCAAACACACGGATCGCACAGGCCCCAAGAGTTTTTAAAAAACCAAAGGGTGGCCAGGCGCGGTGGCTCACGCCTGTAATCCTAGCTCTCTGGGAGGCCGAGGCGGGCGGGCTGTTTGAGCTCAGGAGTTCGAGACCAGCCTGAGCAAGAGTGAGACCCCGTCTCTACTAAAAATAGAAAAAGTTAGCCAGGTGTAGTGGTGCATGTGCCTGTAGTCCCAGCTGCTCGGGAGGCTGAGGCAGGAGGATCGCTTGAGCCCAGGAGTTTGAGGTTGCTGTGAGCTAGGCTGACGCCACGGCACTCACTCTAGCCGGGGCAACACGGTGAGACTCTGTCTCAAAAAAAAAAAAAAAAACCCAAAGGGAAAAAAACATGTTTTTCACCACACATGGACTACGGTATTAACAAACTGGTCTCCCTTTTCTCCTACTAGTCTGACTGAAGGGAAAAGATTGCTTTCAAAATTAAGCTTTTCTTTGCCCAGTGATTAATACGGAGTAGAGTAGGTTAACTTAATTTGCACTAGACTCCAATTTAATTTCAGCTACAGCTCAGAGGCCAAATCCACAGCAAAGTTAATCTGGGCTTCATGAGAAGGAGCCATTTTCGTTCTTTGAGGGAAAGATGCGGCGGCTCTAAAGGTCGCCATCCAACGGCCCAGGCGTAGCGCTTGCGAAATCGTGGGCCCTCTCAGGCGACCACACACACGACTGCATTTCCTTATTAATTCCTGTTTCATCATCTGTTCTCACTGATATTCCTTAATGGTAAAGGAATCTCTTTCTCTCTCACACACACACACTAGACTGAAACAAAAATCCAGAATATGCCAAAAAAAAAAAAAAACGTGCACACTATTGAAGTGTTACGTGCCTAAGGCATCAGGATCCTGGGAAAGCTCTAGATTTTTGGTTTAAGAAATAACATTGCATATTGAATGGCAGGTTTTTACGTTTATTGTTGTGTATTTCCCCCCTTTTTTGCGCTACAATCTAAGCTGAGTGATCTATTGCCAACTGGCACCGATTCCCCCGAGTGTGTGAGGGGAACACGCTTGTGCAATCCTCTTTAGGAGGAGACACACCGGGCAGTCGTCTGTCTACTTCCGATGCCCAGAAATACAGTGACCGGACGGGCCGCGGGGCTGCAGGGGCCGGGGGAGGGTGCGCACCGCCCTCAGTCAGAGTCCATCGTGAACAGCTGGATGTCCTGCGGGTTCCAGTACAGGCCCACTGCGGAGTTGTAGACCAGAGACCAGACGTAGGGGATAAAAAACTCCTCAGGCTGCTCCTCTTCCACGTATTTGAATTTCAGTTCTGGAAATTTCTGCAATGAAAACGAGATGATCTTACAATCTCACAGTTCCACGCACGAGCAAAAGCAGTGGTAGTCTGCGAGCGGCGTGGTAGTGCGCAGGAAGCCGCCTCCCCTCCCTGGTCACAGGGCCTGATACTTTAGCTATCCAGTGGCTCCTAAGAAAACGTCAGTCGCCGCGGGAAGAGCAAATAACACCATGGGTCCCGGTCGGCTAATGACAGCTGGGCTGACAGTGTGCTGAGGAGAGATCCAAGCAGGGGTAGAGGCAGCATGAGGACTATCGCAACCGAGAACCGGACCCTGCGCGGGGTGGCAGACAAGGCCCAGGCCAGCGTTAGCCAGTGTGTAGTGCTCAGGGCTGGTTCTGCGGGAGAGACGTTGTCTTCAGGGTTCACTGTTTGGGAGACGAGGACTCTCCCCTCACAATTCCTGAGCCTTGAGCTGAAGAGGCAGCACGTGCCCCTGGGGGGTGTGGGTCTGGGGCGGGCGGCCTGCTCTGCCATAGTTGGCCCAGTCTCTCCCTCCTGGAGGGCAGGAGCGATGGCTTTGGCTTTGCGGGGGGCAGGCAGGGGAGAGCCTTGGGCCTGGCTCTGCGAACACGTGCAGGTGCCCTGGGTCTGCGCGCTTCCGTCCTTGGCATGTGAGGAGGCGTGCGGTTTAGCAGCCTGAGGTAGCACTTGTGTTTTAGCACATCGCCAGGATCGGGGCTTCTGATTTTCTAATTTCACCCCTGACCTGTTTACTGCGGCCAGGGCAGAGGAAGAGACTCTGCTTTCAGCACCCCGAGGAGCGGCTGGAGGCCACTCAAGGCCCCTGGGCCTCCTCCCTTGCCAAGCTGACTCTGGCAAGAGTGGCCGCAGCTTGGTGACCACTGTCCCAGGCAGGGTGGGGTGCTCGGGGTCCTGAGAGGAGGGGTCTAGGGGAAAGCTGAGAGAGGGGGCTGAAAAGAGAAAGAAAGGAAGCAACACGTACCCACAGCCGCATGGGTCACATTACATCCAAAGGCGTGGCCCAGGAGGGCAGAGAGATTCTGATTTTCATCCATACATGTATGGATTTTTATCTGTTTTGTTAGCTGCTATATTATGCCCACAGACACTGGCCAGGCACTTAATAAATGAACGAATCAATGGAACAATCAGCCATACACTGAGGGCCAGCCCTGTCAAAGACACACCGGTAGATGCATTGTGTTATCATCTTATTTAATCCTCCTGCTGTCAGTGTGTCCATTTGTTCGCTGGTTCATTCATTCTATCGACTGTCTCTGCGCCGTGTGGGCAGGGCCCAGGGACAGAGGGGTGCAGCAGCCACACAGCTCCTGTGCTCACCGAGCATCAGTTCTCGTGGAAGAGAGAGACAAACAGCATCAGCAAAAATCCCCAACAAAACAGTTGTGACAGAATTGTGGGGGAAGGACAAGCTGCTCTAGAGGCCTGAAGGTGGAGGAGGCCGCAGCGGATGAAGAGGGAAGTGTGTTCCTCTGGCGGGGACGGCACGGTGGGCCCGTGTGTGTGAGGCATGAGGACCTCGTGCTGCGGGGGCAGGGGAAGGGCAGGCGCTGGTGAGCAGGGGCCAGACCGGAGAGCCACGTGACGGGTGCTGGACCCCACGCTGAGGTCTGGAAGAAGGCCACGGCACGAGGACGGCGCTGTGCAATGACCACTGTGATCAGTGGGTAGAACTGGAGGGCACGTGGCAGTGGGAAACGGACTGACTAGGATGACACTAGTTGGGTGGATTTACAAGATACGTAGGGAAGGGGAGGGGCAGGTAGAGGAGCTAGACATAGAGTTACAGGAATTTTAAAATAACTTTTATGGTGATTAAGATTAAAAATATCTAACTGCTGGGTCCTCAGAGTTCCAGAGGGTCAGTTCGGAGGAACAGAGGCGAGCTGGACAGTCTCTGCGGCAACATGAGTTTTGAGTCACATCTTGAAAAGTGTATAAGAAGTCCTAAAAAGGAGGGCACTCCGGTCATCGATGTAACATCAACACATCACAGACGGCACAGCCCCCACCTGCTACGGCTTCAGTGGAAACCAACTCCCGACCTCTCGTCTCCCAGAGAGGTACGTAAATCGGGGTATATACAAACAGGGTTGACAAGTGGCCAAACTCCAGCAACGTATCACCTACCCCTGGATCTTCCCTCACGCCTTCTACCACCCCACAACCCACCGCCTTCCCCAAACCACTCTGCTTTAATGAGAACCCAAGCCCTTCAGGCCATCAGTGCTTCTAACCAGTGCTGTGGCGTCGCCGGCATGGGCCGAAAGTCCGGTGTGTGCCGATACTGCTCACGACTTACAGGACAGTCTCTTCAACCTGAGCTCTTCGCGTCAGTCTGGCTGACAAAGCTTGATCAGCTCAGGGGTGTGGATGTGGCACTATTTCCAGTATTTGCTCACATGAACTGGGGTGCAGGTAGCCCCCAGCTTTCCATTCCCTTGTTGTCCACTCCTGAAGTCCCCTGACTCCCTCCCCACTGACCATGCGGCAGCGGGCTGGGCTCCCGGGGGCTGGGGTCCTTGGCACCCTCAGTGAGCCTCTTCACACGCTCTGTTGCTTCTGGCCTGGCATGGGGGTGCCAGGAGGTAAGTCTTTGTTGTGGAATCAGGTATCTTACAGGTACCAACACGATAGTATTTTTTTCCTGTGAAAAATCTGCATTTGTAGCAATATGGGGCAGCTAGTGGCTACCACCAACCAGCACTTCCTACGTACCACGCCTGCCTGAAGCTTCCCACACAGCACCGCGGTCAAGCACCACAATGTCCCACCGAAGCTGCTATCGCCAACCCCACTAAAAGCAGCCAAGGAGATGCTCAGAGAGGCTCAGTGCCTAGGGCAAGGTCACACAGCCTGCTTGGGGTGGAGTCAGGTTTAAAGCCTAGGTCTGGGTGTGCAAAGTCACTCTGAAAAGTGACATCAGAGTTCTAGCCCCCGTAGTGCGTTGTCCTTAAATTCGATTCTCTTAGGCTCCATGACACTCTTCAGGGTTAGCGTGCCCTTCCACCACATGGCACAGAACCCAGCACACTGCTGGCCCTTTAAAAAGCACCACGATGACGTCGATAATCAAGGCAGGATGGGGGACGTTGTTTGGAGAAATTTTCTCCATAATAAAGGAGATGGAAGTCCTAGTCATTAGGATGGCCTCAAACTTAGACAACCTCTCACGCTGACTCAGAAGTGATGGGCTGGGGTGGGGGTGCAGAGGCAGTGGTTTGAAAAGGCCAGAGTCCCCACACTGCCTCTTTGGTTGGAATAATAACATCCTACATTGTGGTAATGTCGCCATGAAAATGCACTTCTTGTTAGAAATAATAATGACTCAAGGACGTGAAACCTTTTCTCCATCCGGTGACACAGTCGGGGGTTTTCCCATGCAGGCCTTAGGAATGGGTGAGACTCACATGAGCCTGCTTTCTGGATCTCTCAGGAGGGTGCAATGGGAAATGGGATGAGCAAATTTTAAACTGCTCTCATAAGGATTCCTTCCAACTGAATTACAGAAACTTAGGCAAGAGCTGGTAATAAGTTTACGGGCTGGCAGTAAGTTTACCTGTCCTCGTGGCTTTGGGGAATTCTGATGACTAGTCAGAAGGAGTAATGAGTCAAAGGCTGCCCTTAAATTTTGCAAAGGTGGACCTGGGAAAAGCACTGGGCACCCCCATGACTATCCTTCCCACCACCTGGTGAAAACAGAGGTGCAAATGCCTCAAGTTTATGTCAAAACAATAATCCATCTCACCCTCTACGAAGGCGCAGCATCTCTCTTAATAGTATGGAGAACTTCCCTTTAATCGGAAAGCAAACTATTTGACCAGTAATAACCGTGGCTTTCAAATGTTGGAAACAAATAAGGTTATGCCCAAAGTAGTAGGAACTTCCAGTTATAGTATTATATGCAACAATCCGGTACACAAATAGTGTCAACTTTGTCAACAGCGGACATGTACAGATTCTACCGTGAAGTTCTTCTTCAAGCTGATCAATGATTATTTCTATTGAATTTCTCCATAAAAACTTTATAATCAATTCTGAGATTACAGCTAACATTTATAGCTAACATAACTGATTACCTATTACGTGGCAAGCATAATCAAACACTTGACATATTTACTCATTTAATCTTTGAAACAACTAAAAAGCACTCCAAAGGCAAACAGATAATTTGAGATTCGGCCCCATTCTCCGCACCCCCCAATTCATTCAGTAAATATTTACTGAGGGCCTAGTAGGTAGTAAGCACTGAACTAAAAATACAGCTGTGCCTAGGACACACACGGTCCCAGCATTCGAGAGCCAGAAGTCTAGTCCTTCAGACTCAGGCTCTTAAAAGACAAAGTTTACTGTACTCTGAGATTTTGAATTCAACCATCCTGCCTCCTTCACAGGGTTGCGGTGGTGAGACAGTGACGTGAGATAAGCCATGTTAGGCTTGTATGGTACCTAACACAGAGCAAGCACTCGATGAAGGTTGGCTATTACTCCTGACGTTACGATGGTAAGCAGACATAAGGTATGCTCTTATTTTATAACGTTCAGTAATCAAATCTAAACACTAGAAATACTAGGACTGGCCTGGTCCGAAGCCCACTTCTCTTATGCATCCAAATGGACACTTCTCACTTGGCAAGTGACTCTTAATAATAGAAACATAAGAGACCTGAGCCTCCCTGCACGAAAACCAGGAATAAGTGCTGACGAATGGCTTAAAAGCAACAGGCTCATTTGCATAACCATTTTGAAAGAACAAAGCTATTTCACTAAGAGAAAGCGGGGTCTGAAGAATTACCTTCTTTCTCTATCTCAGAGTCGGGCTCAACTGCAAGGCAGGGAACTGGCCTGGGAGTGGTTTTTGGCTATAGTAAGGATGACAGAAGGATCACTTGTGTAATGCGTTTGACATTAGGAACATGACCTAGGTGTTTGCAACCTTCTTGTAAGATCATGTGGCACGTTCCACAACATCCAAGATGGACCTGGGGCATGGCAGCT